TACACCCAGTGGGGCATGGTGGCTCATGCCTGTTACCCCACTAAGAGAATCTGGGTCAGGAGGATCACAAATTTGAGGTCCACCTGGGCAACGTAGTGAAAGCCTTTCTCAAAGTAAAGAAAAATAGTTTAAATGGGCTGGGGTTGTAACTCAGTAGTAGAGCACTTCTGAGTTGGATTCCCTGGTATCACACACACACACACACACACACACACACACACACACACACACAAAACTGGTAGAAATTTCATTGTTTATCTTGCAATTTAAAAAGATCAAAGAATTTTTTAATATTGTTTTGCTGTAGTTTTTTTGTTTTTGGTTTTTTGTTTGTTTGTTTGTTTGTTTGAGACAGGGTCTCACTACGTAGTTCAGACTGCCCTAGAACTCACTGTGTAGCCCAGGTTGGTCTCGAACTCACAGCGATCCTCCTGCCTCAGCCTCCCGAGTGCTGGGATTACAGGCGTGCGCCACCACGCCCGATGAGAGTTGTTTCGTTGTAATGGAAAGCCAGTTAGGGATAACTTGGTGTAATTTATCTTTAAAAGGAATCTAGGGGGCTGTTGCATAGAGGATAGAATTGAAGCAGCCAGGATGGAAGAGAACAGTGAGAGGCTATGGCACTAGACCACACCATTTACTAAAGGACTTGGAGAATAATATATTTGTGGGTGAAAATCTGTTTTGCTCATTTAAGATTAAATCTGTTTTGGTTGTGTTTAAGATGTCTGTTAGATATCTAAGTTGAGACATGAAGTGAACAAATTGAAATGTAAGTCTGGATCTCAGTGAAGAACCAAGGCTGGAGTAACAGATTTGGGAGTCATCAACACTTACATGGTATTTAAAGTCATTAAAAAGATGAGATCATCTAGGGAAAGAAAGTAGATGGAGACAGTGAAGGGGCTGGAAGCAAGTCTTGCATCTTCAACTTTTTAAGAGGTGAAAACGAAAGGATCCAGCAAAGGAAATTTGACTTAATATTAGAGAGATGTTTTGTCCTGAACGCATACTTGGGAACAAAAGGAAAAGGAAACAAAATGCTGAAATAAAAATTATGCTGATGAGATTCTATATCTCCAAGGTGATCTGTACCCAGAAATTATATGCCATGCCCTGAATAAGACGCTGTTAACGTGATTTAAAGTTTAAGAGCCCCTTAGGTTGCAAGCTAGATCTAGCATGGTAGAATTATCATTCTTGAGGCTGACATGTGTCTCGTGGTTTGTTTATTGACAGTCTCAGAAAAGAAGGTTTACTTGTTATTCATCCATTCAACAAAATCCATTCACTATTTTATGTTTCCAGACACTAGGCCGGGCACATTACAAGATGATTTCTTGAAAGAAATGCAAGTAGATACTTAGTTTAATAAATATAAAATAGTGAACATTAATTTAGATGCAGTGCTGCTATCCATATATTAATATTTTAATCTTCACTAAAAGCTTGATGAGTTTCAAAAATGATGCTTAGAATATCACATACAAAACAATGAAGTTGAGCCCTTCTTTACACCATCCCCAAAGTTTACTCAAACTGAATCATAGTTCTACATGTAAGAACTGCAACTACAAAGCTTTTAGAAGAAATAAGAGAGTAAATCTCAGCTAAATGCTTCCTAGAAATGTCACCAGTAGTACAAACACCTAAAGAAAAAAAAATAGATGAATTGAATTTCATCAAAATAAAAAAATGTTTTTGTGTCAACAAAGTGAAAAGTAACACATAATGAGAGAAAATATTGCAAATCACATATCTGACAAGGAATTTGCATCTAAATATAAAGAATATTTACAACTCAACAATAGAAAGAAAACAAATACAATTAAGAAATGGGCAAAGGAACTGAATAGACACTGCTCCTAAGATTAAATAGAAAAAAGCCAATAAGCACATAAAAACATGTTCCATGTTATGGATTATGAAATATAAATTAAAACACAAGATATTACTTCACATCTATCATCCTTAAAATGCTAAGCACAGAATTACAACATGATGCAGAGCTTCTATTCCAGGTATACACCCAAGAAAGATGAAAAAATATGTCCACATAGAAACTAGTACTCAAGTGTTCACACAAACATTATTGACAATAGCCTTCCAAAGTACAGGCAACCCAAATTTCCACCAATGGATTAATGGATAAATAAGTCACAGTACATGCCCAAAATAGAATATTCTTTGGCAGTAAAAACAAGTGGAATGATGGTGGCTGAATTATGTGTTATGTGATTTGTATCTCAATAAAAGTGTTTAAGAAAATCATAGGCATATCCAAAAAATAGGGGGAGCTTCCCTCTAGGGGATCCCACTGTTCAAATTTGGGAAAATGCAAATATTAAAATAAAAGATAATGCAAATAAAAGAAATCAAGTGAGATAGGTACTGTTTATTTCCTCATTTTACAAGTAAGGAAATTAACGTACATCGGAAATGACATCTCATCGTCACAGTGGGGATTTCACTTCAGGTATCCAGCTACACAGCCTGCAGTCTTCACCATTAAAATACCCTATCTTTTCTGCACCCATCAAAACTGCACAAAACCTGATGAGGCATAGAGGGGAAAAGGTAGGAGAAGGTGGATTTAAGAGGTCCTAGAAGAAGATGTACAGCTTAACTTCAATCTTGAATTTTACATAAAATCTAACAAGGCAACTGAGGGTGGAAGGGGAAGAAGATAGCTAAGGGGGAAAGATAACAACAGGAAGATGCACAAGAGAGATAGAGATCTGCAGGTAGTTCAGAATGACAAGAGATGGAGGAGAGTGACCTTAGCAGAGGAGGGAGGGAACAAATGTCTAAAGGTGGTGTGATAGAGATAGGCATTAGCCTGGACTGGTGACTTACAGAAATATGAGCTAATAACTGAATGTGGTTGAATCAGTAAGTTTGTTATAATTATGCAGGAATAGAAAAAGGAATAGTCTCTTCACCAAATTCTCTAAAGTTGGCAGGATAGGTGGTTGATTAATTTAAAAATGTACAGAAAAATAGAAGATATTGGTTATTTCTTCATTATTCCCTAATATTTAGAGGAAAATTTAAGTCAGTTTTTTAAATAGTTTTGTTATCTGGATGGTTGGCTATGATACTGGCACTAGTGTATATTAATTTGGAAATCTCATCCTCATTTAGCTTCTACTAACATTTATAAAGTGTGTATATTGTCTATCAAGCACTATACTATGCACTTTGCTTCATCTTATTCTCACACACAAAGAGATAGGAATTATGAAGAAAATTCATGTTTAAAGAATTTAAGTGACTTCTCTAAGCTCAGTAAGAGGGAAGGTTTTCTAAGTAGAGTTAGACATTTTCACTCTATATCCTATGTTCTGCCCTTTACATGTCAGTGCAATCCAATTTACCATCCCTGTGTGTCTGTCTGTCTGTCTGTCTGTCCCTCTCCAGATAGAGCTGCTGGGCTCCAAGAAGGGAGAACAACACTGAGTGAATAATTTTGAAAGAACACAAGTTTACTTCACACTGGCTTCATTTACAATTGCTGTAAAAGGGCTGGGATTTAGCTCACTGGTGTTGCCACCTGCTTCACAAGCACAAGATCCTGAGTTTGATCTCAGGTACCAATAAAATAAAATTGCTGCAAAACATTTCATGTATGATGTTTCCTCTTAGTAACTAAATTTTAATCAAATATTTTTACTCTTACATATTACGGTTTTTTCAGATTCCATACCCTCTATCTGAAGATCCTAAAACTCTGCCATTATTAAAAACAAATAATTTCTCATGCAAAATAGTAAGGATTCTCTTGCTTCTTATTTATCATTTGAGATTTTTATGCTTTTTCATTTTTTTTTTATTTCAAAGTCTCTATCCATACTTATGGAAGGGCCTTCTTGTACATGTCACTGCAGATAAAAAGAGTAGTCAACATTTTTATATTTTATTTTATTTGACATTTTGTTTATTTGTTTGTTTGTTTATTTTTGAGACAGGGTCTCTCTATGTAGTCCAGGCTGGCCTTGAATTTGAGATAATCCTCCTGCCTCAGCCTCTCAAGTGCTGGGATCATAGGTGTGTGCCACCGTACCTGGCGAAGAATATAAATATTTTTCTAATTCCATAAAATCATG